TGAGAATGAGAAAGGAAAGGGGAAAGGGAAAGGGAAGGAAAAGGCTCTTGACAATCCAAGTGACTTGATTGGGGAAGATCTAACATGTGCAATTACTTGTGAAGAAATAGAGGATATGTATCAGCTAAGTTGCCAGCATTTTATAAGCCCAAAGGTTCTTTTATCCTTGACCAAACTGGAATGTCCATACTGCAGAACTGAGTTCAAGGCAACTGATGTATATTATCTGCCACAGCAAACAATATACAAAAATATTCAACAATATATTATGGGGAAAACCAATCAGAATACAAGCATCTTGGGTGCTGGCCCCAATGCAGTATCAGAACTAGTTAAAGAACACAATGATCTTAGAAAACCAAGAAGGAGAATGAGCAGAAAAAGCCATGATTTTGGAGCCACTTGGAATGCAATCCGCAAGACAATAAAAATGCCATATATAAACAGGTTACTGCAAAAGTCTAAAATTGCATATGATATTGGTAACCTGGGAGATGTTTTGGATCATAGCACACAAATACTACAGTCTGATCCCACAAATTATACTGCACTTTGCAATAGAGCAATCATTAAGTTAAGAATGAAAAACTTTGATAAAGCTCTGTTTGACATTGAAACAGCTCTTAATGTAAACAAAGTTTATGAACATGCTTGGTATTTGAGCTTAATGGCACATTTGAAACTTGGGAATAAGGAAGAAGCTGCAGAAGATATCAAACATATTCATAATCCATCTAGACAACACCAGGCATTTGTTGCAATATATAAACTAGTCACTGGACTTGAGCAGTTTGACATTGATTGGTTTAAAATTCTTGTGGATAGCTGTCCTTACCAGGCAATGAATAAATTAAATAATGTTGGGCATTGGCAAGCAACATTATATAAGCAGCAATTTAAAGCAGAGAAATACACTCAATGGTACAATACTGCTATGAAATGGTATAAAAATTGTAATGGCTTTAAAAAGACAGAAGCATTTTTTGAAAAAGTATATTATATGCATAAATGTAAGTTTGAATGTATGAAGTCTTATTCAGTGTTTTATTTATATTAACATATTTTATGTGTCTTACTAGGCTATCTAAAGGCGCACTTTTTTTATGAAGGTCATATTGAAAATGAGGATGATCTTTGTGATAAGTATGTAACTTTTTGTAATCATGTTTTTATAATTACTAATACTAATTGTTATTACTTATTCAACAGTAATGTTGAGTGCTTAATGGTTTCTTGGAACAATACTGTAAGTTTATTTATGATAATGTGATACTTTTTGGTCATTTAAGGAACAGTTTTTTATATAACATGCCCCTATCAATTATTCAATACCAGTTGAGAATACCAATCTTTTATGTACCTCCAGACCAATACAAACTCGGCATTATGTTGAAAAATGGATCTGATGTATCAGTGGATTTACATACTTTGGTAAGTATTACATCAAATATTAGTTTGCAAAAAGTACCCATACAATCATAACACAAATCCGTTGCATTGTAATTGCTATTATTTGCAGATAAAAACACCAATTGAGACTATTCAATACACTGTTCAAAATATAAAAGCCAGAGGTTCTCACGTCGAGTACATTTTACCATGTGCAATTAACATTGTTTCTGAAGGTCACGTTATCATAGAATTCACTATCAGTGATGTAAGTATAACTTTTTTTTCTCGATCAGTTTTTCGTACATTATCCATCAATTGTTCTGACGTTAAATCTTATTTAGTCTCGCTTGGACTTTTATTGGGTTTGTTTATACTTGGGAAAGGATTTAGAAGCTAAAGCAAAAAGTTTGAAAATTGAAACGCTTTCAACTAGTGTAAAAATAATTGATTACAAGCAGTTTGAATATGAAAATGTGTACTCAATTAGTGTCGACTAATTGTTGTGAATAGTTACATGGTTATGATGGCTACCATCTTGTCTAAATTATGGGTTTTCTTCTGTTAAATTATGTTGTCTGTAATACATGTTGAAAATTTTGTATTCATTTATCTATTTATTCATTTCAATAAACGTGCAGTACTTTACGTATCAATTATAATAATGTGTTGCACCCGAATAGTTATTCACATTCTTTGAAGGAAAATGGGAAATACGTCATGAATCTGGACTAGCGAAATAATATGTGGTCTGGACCAGCCCGATTTTGGATTGGGCTGAATTTCGCTATGGGCCAGACCATAAATTGGGGAACGTATTAGGGACCTTCGTTGCTTTTTGTATACGGTTTGGTGACAATATTATATACGAATGCAAAATTGCTGGTTTAAAGTAACGCCATTGATTTAATCGACGAGTTGGCAGTTTTAACATACTTGAACTCCAACAACACAAAGCCAGTATTCTATCAAGCATACATACTGTACCTCTACACAGAACTGATTTGACGTCAATCAATCAGGGAATGTCACTACAAATACTGATAATATACTCATAGATGTACTTATACCTCATCTGCGCGTTATGAACTAATTACTATATCTTGATTAGTATTGAATAACAGCATCAAACAAACGTGTGATATAGCCAAGTCGACACCGACCGAATAATCTAAGATCCAGAGAATACTTATGCACTCAAAACGCCTCTCAAAACAGAGACGGCAGTTCAAAGAGAGTACACTTGAAATGGATCCCTAACTTGGAAATTACCGAAATAGAGTCAACGCTTTTCGCAAGAATTTATACAATGATAATGCTAGTATTACTTGGAAGCGATGAAGTATGTACAGCAACACTTGTGAGTGAATTGCTAGCCTAAACACTCTGTTTGACGTAGCGTTTGCGCGATATAACCATCAATGCCTAATTCCGCACAAGAACCTTGTCAAGCAATGTCGTGATGCTGATTTTGACAAGCATCCAGATGCATAGATGCATTGGGAACGATATTGTTAAAGAGGCGGAAAAGGACAATTCTGTTAGTAATGCATGGATAATGATGAAAACCTTTGTCACATCTCGGAAAGGGAAGTAAACATTCTAGTATGCTCTTATCTACTTGGAGATCTGCCCAAACTGAGAAATAGCCATGATTTGGATTCAGCTGCAGGTATGAAAAAAAAGCTGGTTATGTGTGTTGATGTAGTTAAGTTCGATGTATGATATTAACATTGTCAATTTGTCTTATAATTTAGTTTCGAATTCTATATCTATATCAACGACGATGGCATCGAAACAGCTGATCATAAGCAATCTGAGCATGGCGGCTACCTCTGACGGCTAGTTTGGGACAGACTGTTGGGCCCCAGGTTACCTGCCAACGACTTATGATAAGAAGGGAGTGGCTGTTTATCATGAAACTACATCAAGTTTACGGGATGGAAAGTAAATAACTCTACCTACTAGAGTTTTTGCCTAGACTGAAAAAGTGGCTATGATTTGCAGGTATGAAGTGTTTAATCTTGAAAAGGGCAATAATGCTAATGTATCCATTAATACAATCATAAATTCGTGTCTGTCATAGTCTTCCGGAAGCCGAATATCAGAGAATGTAAATTGGTTCAGAAGATGCGATCAAAAAAAGCGAATCCCCAAAATTAAACCTCATAATAACAAGCAAAGTGGACACTGCTGTGAAGTTTTGCATGCTTCTATTCTAATCAAAACTAGCAATTTTGCACAGCAAGTCTATGAGATAGTAACTTAATATTAAAAATTTGTAATGTTCGAGCAACAGCACGTGCCATGACTATGCATCAATGACTATATTTGCGTTCAGTTTAACCTAGCCATAAAGCATGCTGCTATATTTGTTAAGAACTCACGTGTTAATCTTACCACGAAAAATTCACTCTATACGAAAACTCGTAAAATCTATCCCAAAATAGTATGTGAAAAAACTACGCATATGTAAACGCCGGTACTAAGCATCCGTTCTTGGTAAAGAATATAAACAGACATTATCAGAATAATAACGTCGCTTCATAATTGTAACTATCATAAAAATTATGAGAATAGTATACGGCAGAATGAAAATCCGATTCAGATTGTCTAATACTAATATTTGAGACAATAATAAATAAGTTAATTTGACTCGACGTTTGATCTAAACAACACTATAGCTTGCTGGTATGTATACCTAAATAATGGGTAAAGTTTCTGGCAAGGCTTATCGCTACAATTGTTCTTCTTTTTCTCTTCTGTATAATAGATAATGTAAGTTTAAGTATAATATATAGTGTAAGTATAAGTGTATATATATATAAACGATCCGATTTTGCTGTTGATCTTTTACTACGTATGGTATAAAAAAGGACGAAGTTGCATAAAAATGTCTAGCACAGATCTCTACGGCCTTATAATAATGTTAATAAACCAGCTAGACCTTGAATTATTACCTTAAGGCCTGTGCGATCATGAAATCTCCTAATTTATCGAGTTTTGCGTCTAGCTTGTCGAGCTTTTTTCGATATTATCAATTCTCCCATCCAGTCTTCGCTCCCCGCCTTCCAAGTATCCTTTTAACATGATATGGCAAGATGGATTCCGGAGCCCCTGTATCGACCACGCATGTATATTTTTTGTTGTTATTCATGGTATCATAAAATTCATACGAAAAACTCGCGATCAAATTATTTTCGTTGGGTCTTCTGATGCGAATTCTGGTCTTTATTTAGGGATCAAATTAATTTGATAAAAGATAACGCTTCTCTCTAAGTACGCGTTCAAACCTTGTGATCACCTCCATTATTAGCGCGCTGAGAAATCACCATCTTCGCTGGCTTAGTACGTAGTGGCATAAGTGACTGATCAACCGGGTATTGAATGGCATCAGGCATAGCTTCGAGAACGTCGTTCAATTGATCATCTATACTCCTTTCCATACTCTACTACCTTCTGGTTGTGTATCGTCACCCACTCGTTCTCATGTCCCGTAAATTCACCTCTATCGAGTGCGTTGTAGTAAAATATGTGGTTAAACCCGACTTCGTCATCAGATTCGAACTCAACGTCAGCGATTAATAAAAAGGAATATCTTCTGAGATATTCTGGCATGGAGGAGGGCCATCTGAAATTCTTTCCCACGCGAGCTATGATAGATTAAATAAAACAACATCAAAACTTTACTACATGTATTGCTACTATGCTTTCACGTATATAAAGAGAATTTTAAACTGTGTACCGAGAAACCTTCGTGCCTGACCAGGATTGTACTCATATTTGAGGAGACTTTGAAGCGTTTCGGGTGGATTTTGTTCCTTCATTAATCTAACGAGGCATTACTCAATATTCGACGCCAGCAATCTTCTCATCTAGTCTTCGCTCGACGCCAGCAATCTTCTCATCTAGTCTTTGTTCGACGCCAGCAATCTTCTCATCCAGTCTTTGTTCGACGCCAGCAATCTTCTCATTAAGTTCTTGTTTGACATGTTGCACCGCCATGACGGTAAGCGCCCCCATTCCGAGAGCCTTTCCCACCACGCCAGTAAAGTCTGTCTTCGGTGCCTGAAATAATATTGCTTGTCTATATTCGGCAATACAAGAAACGACACAGTACAGCACTCATACTCACCGCCGTTTGTTTCTTTTACTGTCGATAGGAAACGTTTGCCTGCTGTTTTAAAAGACATGTTCGGCAGGATAGAAGCAAACAGCTTAGAGACAAAAGAGTTGGAGGTAAAAGAGTTCGTGACAAAAGAGCTGGAGATTAAAGAGTTCGTGACAAAAGAGTTGGAGATAAAAGAGTTCGAGACAAAAGAGTTGGAGATAAAAGGGGAGACGAAGGTTGTTTAAATACGATGATAATAGTGATAGATTGAATGGGAAATAAATAACGAGTTTATCTAATAATACAAACTCCGCTCGTATTGTATAACAGGTTACTTGTATATGTATAGGACATTCATTACGTCTGTTCTTAACCCGTAGTATACTATTAACCCGCACTTGACGTCACACATATTCGGTATCAAATAGATGGGTCTTCTGTTCACGTGTTCATATTTATCATATACCGAAAATAAATAGCCACGAAAATAAATGTTTCTACTTATACACGCCTGACATGCAGATTGTGATGGGCAATCATCCTTGAAACAAAGGTCTTATACTGAGTACTACCATTATTATTATAACTTTTGCGGACCTCGAAAAGCAACACAGGAAGCAGATGATAGTGTATCATACAAGTATTATCATATGGATATGAATAATTTGTCTCCGATCATTTTCCAATAGGAAAAACGTATAATAATAAATTTCGAATCCTTAATATGTGAAAAATAGTGAGCAAATTGTGTGTTTATGTATATATATAACAGCCCTTAGTCACCCATGAATACCTCCAATCAACAATAACAAATCTACTGTATCAGGTTTCGGGATATACTGTACATGTCATATTGCGTACAATATAAATCCGGTATTTATATGTATCATGCAGTTCAGATGCATGTGATAAACTCTTGTTCTATAGTTTCCCTATTACTATCTACATTATCATTTTTGAGATTGTATGATCTGTCTTCATTGTACAAATCTTATAATACATTGTATAATTAGAATAGTAGAGTGCATAAAGTTCAAAGTCGTTGTGTCCGCAATGTTATAGTAGGCTAGGAACTCAGACATGCAACGATATATACAGTATAATATATATATATCTTTTGTGGTATTAATATGGATAAATGGAATTGCATCCTACCATTACGTAATATGCTGTCAATCAGGAGTCAGTGATGTGATTAAGACTGCAGTATGATTGGGTCGTGTGCAAATCATCCAAATATAGTCTAAAATATGGCGTAATGGATTTACGCCACCGATTACACTTTATATTTATTATTATTGATCGTTCGCGTTGTTATTAGTTATATAGACGTTTAATATCTAATTTAAGTAAAAAGCAAGTCTTGAATTGTGTGGTGGGTTCCACGGTTCTAGCTCTTAAAGCCTCTTCACATGCTGTGTTTTGTTCATTAAGACTTGTCTCAGTCGCTTATATGTATGATAAAACTGATCGTTTTGGATATTATCTGAAAACAATTTTCAATAACGACTCAAAATTTTTTTTGTCCTCAGCAAGTTCAATTCTTCTAGATTCAATTAATAGATTACGATCATGAAAACTTGTTTCAATATTACGGTCCATGTTCATTGAAATCTCTGACTTATCTATGGGAATTTCATTCATGTCATTCCAAGGATTGTTTACCAGATCAATGCTTGCACGAGCTTCACCAAACAAGATAAGTGGACAATCATGACTCAACATTACCATTGCAAGAATTCTGATAATCTCCTTATGTATTAAAAATTGCCATTGGGAAAGTAGCAGGCACTGAAGAAATACTTGGTGGATACAATCTGATTTCATGGGGTCTCAAAGAAAGTTATTGGATTCAGACTAAAGAAAGTTTTATATTTGCATTAAATAAAGATAGTTTGGAGAAGAGTATAATCAGCTTTGTTGGTTATGCTCAACTTGCCATTTGGGATAATAAGGATCGTTTTCCTGTTTTTGCATCTGGGTTATTTGAAAAAGATTTACATTTTGGTAGTGAGAAAATCCAGCTTTGTATTATTAAATTTGCATACCAAGTTCCAATAAGACATTCACTAGATGGCCTCAAGTGGGCTGACTGGGAGGTGTTTTCTGTTTCAGCATTTTGATTACTTTACATTATTATTAGACATGTCAATTCACCTTCCCACAATAGTGACATTACTTTTTTTGCACACATTTACTCATTGCTTGTTTGTTGTATTACTTTCTGCCCACAGGATGGTAAATGTTTCCCATGTATGCTTTCTTTTCACGACATTTCTGTAAGTTTGTTCTAACATAACACTTTTTTTTTCTGTAGCCTTGATCTTCTTTTTCACTTGGCATACAGTTCTGATTTGCTTCAATTTGATAAACTTGTTCTGATAACACTAATACTAATGCTTCCTGACTTCACACTGCTTTGGGACTTGTCTCGATTCAGAATCCAGATTCTCATCTAGAACTCAGCTATCTTATTTTAGAATTTTAATTGAAGAACAATATTCATAAACTATAGTTATATTCATAAGGCATATTCTTTTAGTTCACACATACATGATTAATCTTTAAACAGACTGCATGACAAAGGTAATTATGAGCAAAGGTTAAATAAGATGATGAAATATCAGAAATTAACTAATACTCACATGATGGAAAGATTGTTCTGTCTACTATCAATGTAGAGAACGTTCATTCCAAATGGACACATGCCAAAATGGAAATTTATGTCCATTCTGAACTGACATATTAATATGTCAGATTGTAATATATAATAGTAAAGCCAATCAAGTTAAATTGACTGAGCTTTGAGCTGCAACAAGCTTTATACAAAGTTACACTGGTAGCTCTGTATAGTGAATACCAGGCTTTACATTCTCAAAAGTAGTGGTTAAATATCAGATGTCTCTAACTGGCATAACCTATCTTTACATGTATGACTTTACAGCCAGTTTAGTATGATAAAACTTGGTTGTTATACAATGCCAGTAAACTTTACATAATAATTAGAACACTGAATGCATTAGTGATAGTTCTTCTATTGATGCAGAGATGCAAACACAAATTGCTGATTGATATATCAGGGGAAAGTTTTTGAGTAGCTAAATAGGTTGCTAAAATTCTCCTACTCATTCATGATATTTAGGACCCTAAGGCGTGCCACATTGCAGCTACCAGCAGCAGGCTAATTTGATAAAATACAGACAAATCGTTTATACTCTGTGTTCTAGTCAAGTGATTTGGTAAGTTATATATTATACGCTTTATCAGATGTTTAATTATTTCATTAGAGAAATCATTTTGCGAGTAGTTGAAAACAATTTATGCAACTCCCGGAACATTGGCTCAGGTTGTGCAGATTTTGTGAAAATAAAAGGTCTAGTCCAAAAGTTCATTTCCCCGACACTCACTTCCCCAAAAGTTTATTCCCCCGATCATTTCCTCCACAATTATCCCCTGAGGATTCCTGCCAAAGTTATTTTACCGATAGTTAGCAAATGTCAAATAGAAATGGTTAGCTGTAAAAATCGGATGTTGCACCCATAAATAACCGAGCGTCGAAATATTCGAGAATAATTGCCGGAGAAATATACTGTGGGGGAAGTGACTATTGGGGGAAAATGAACGGCTTCCAAACAAAAAAAAGAACAATAAACAAATTTGGTGCGTAAGTATTTGAGTTTACATACACGTTTAGGCCAGGAACATGTTTAGTACTTTGTAAGCAAGCGATGAATACATTTATTCAAATTGAGCACTTTTGTTACTAAATCATACAACTGTACTATACTATACAGTATATTAGTAACGCTTTTGTTGCGTAAACTAACAAAACGTTATAAAAACCTTTTGACTCGAGTATTAACAATATCTTTTGATTATCAACGTATTTTTGCGAAAAAAACCCCACAATAGATGACATGCACGACACATTTTTGACCAGTTTAAACAAGAACTAATTTATTAATAAACTAGATTGAGAGGTAGTTAGGAGGCTTCGCCTCCCTTTTGTCTTTATGGTTATATATTAATGTTAGTAATAAATTGAGAGATAATTTTGCCAAGTGATGATGTGTATTATTTATGTGTATATTGCTACAGTTATACGAACGTATGTTATCCTTTGCTTTGTAAGAGGTTATTATTATGATGCAAGCTGCTTTGTATGCAAATTGCACATTTGGTACAGTAAATTTTATTCGTATATATAAATATTACAGCTTGTGAATCATATATCACTGAAAGCGAGTCAGCTCATTAATTTGAGGAAAGACTATTACGGTTACGAAATATTATGATCGTCCGTCTACTTCAGAAATGGCCTTTAGACAGTAAATAGATTAATGTGTGTATTAGTTAGTATTAGTATGGATATTTTCTTGGTAGACTTAATCGTAGTGGGAAGTAGAGGTATTGAGGTAATGGTTATACGAAGGAGATATGAGTTGAGGCGTACAGTTTATTTTCACTGGTTTCCAATTCTTGTGTTATAACGCTTGTCATCTCCTTTTAAAGTAATCGCTTTTATTCTTTTGCTATGCGTACTGCTTTCTTGGATAAACGATAAGTGCTCTTGACTCGCTATTTTTCTTTATGTATACAAAATAATGAAATTTTTATTAACACACCAAAGTAGGCCAATTATATAAATCAATTGCCTTTTACGTAAACATAGGTTGCAACGAACCATTACCACCAAATTTTATTAACCACTCTACAATCATCCAAAGGCTGTTACGAAGGTAATATATGTAAAGTAGACTGGTTCTCACGAATCAATGTAATAAGCTACTATCTTCTGTTAATTACTGCCAAACTCTACTCCTTTAATGCAATATAGTGTCTTTAAGCAAGGGGATTGGTTCGAAAATTCACACACTCGAATGTAATAAACAAATAACATATACATACATGTCAATAAACGTAGCATGTGCTCGATTCATAATTGCACTATTGAAAATATTCTTACAAGAGTGACTATACTTGACGTCCGCTCAGAAGCATAGTGCGAATTTCATGAGATAAAATATAAAATATCCGATTGATATATTACTTCCTATACAAAAGCACAAGTATCAAAGAAGG